CAAAACACACCTTCTTCCATAGGCATTGGACAAGACTCACCGAGTCGATTTCTTTACCAATCACTGTTAGAATGTTCCCGCTTCCCTCCATTGCCACCGACTCAACTTCTACAAATAACGTTCATGAGAGTAGGGAAGATTTTAATGGTAAATCCAATGTCCATCGAAGATGAGAAGAATGATAAATATAAAATGTTTTTTGCAGCTTCAAGATCCTTATCCACATCGAATAATTGTAGAAATATAGGCCAACATTTAAAAACTTGAGCCACTCTTCTAACCAAAGTCGACATTTTAAGATAGAACCCTAAATTCTAATATGATATCAAAGGTTATTAAACCCCAAGGAGCAATTTGATTTGATAAAGACCCATAAAAGAGTACATGAATTTTCAGATTGGTTTGCTCAAACAAACCACCTTCGTGCGGATATATGTTAAGGAATAAATTACACATCAAAAATTGATGACATATAGACCAACATATAAAGACTTGGGTTACCTCTCTTACCAAGTTTGACCTTTTAATATGCAACTTTAAGTCTTAATAGATCCTAATATCAGTGAAATTGTTTGCCATACAATCCAATTTGTGAGTGAAAATGCATCACATTCACTAGTAGTCATAAATAGATAGCATTATTCTAGAAAGTATTGAAGAAAGGAAAATAAAGAACTAAAATCTTGTTTCGTATCCTAGACATACTGATGTACAGTACACAATACCAAAGAAACGGTTTATATTAGTCATATAAAGATTTAACTTACCCGAGATGCTCATCGTGATCTTCTTGGCCTTTATTCTAAATGATGCCTCCTTGACCAATAGAGTTTTGGCCATTTGGAGGGATCTCAATGACTACCTTTTTCTGATAAGGAACAATATTGAGAGAGCAAATATACATATAAGAAGGTCCTTGGGCTTTTTTAGATTTCCATTTCTTGCATGTCAACTATGTGTGTGTGTGTACATACCGTCATCCTTGGCTTGACTGTAGATGGTGGATATAGAAGACAATTTCTTTAGTGAAATTTATGATTCAATGTAGAAAATATATTAGATTTATAGAGAGAAAATTAATTGAAACTCTATTGATCGTTCAATCAATTGAAAATGAATGTACAGAGATACATAAATAACATTGGAGCTTGGTGCCAAAAATGAAAGAAAGAAAACACAGCTGGCCAACTAACGAAGTGAAAAGAAACTAAGCTGAGTGCAATTACATACAATAGCTACAATTAATTCTAATACTCCCCCTCAAGATGTATGATAAATATTCTTTACAGACATCTTGGACGTTAAAGGGAGAAGGACAGATGCAGAAAGTGGCTTAGTAAATGCGTCAGCTAGTTGATGTTGAGATCAGATTGGAAGGAGCTTAATAATTGTAGCTGCAACTTTATCCTGAATGAAGTGGTAATCGATTTCGATGTGTTTCGTTCGTTCATGAAAAACTGGATTTGTGGCTATTTGAATGGCAGTTTGGTTATCACAAAATAAGGCACCTGGGGAGATAGCGTCTGAAAATCCTTGAGCAATTGGCTAATCCAGATGACTTCACTAATGGTGGTAGCTAGAGCCCTATATTCTGATTCAGTTGAAGATCAAGAAACAGTGGACTGTCGCTTAGCTTTCCAATATATTAAAGGGTCTCCAAGGAAAATGCAAAAAACTAGTAGCTAATTTTCTTGCATCAAGACAAGCTCCCTAGTCTGCATCTGAAAAGGCCCAAAGCTTGAGAAGTGAATGTGGGTCAAATGATGAAGGAAAAGAGATAAGTGTGTTTTTACACACTTATTTAGTTCACAAACATGACTTAATTATGATCAAAAAATTTTAATTATGACTTAGTTCTATGTAATTATGTTTTGTATGACTATATTGATGAATGTGGTGGAATTCAAGAGAAAAGAAACGAAAAGGAGCCAAAAAGGAAGAAAATTTAAAGTATGAGGACTAAATTGCAACATTTCAATAGTTGATTCGGATCACAAAATGAAGATAAAAGATGTTGTGGATTCAATTTGATGCAAATGAAAGTCAAAGAATTGAAATTACAAGAAAAATGGCTTGAAATAATAAAAAATCGACTTCGAGGGCTAAAATGCAATTTATGGAAGAAATTTTGCCCGGGCGATAGCCCAGTTATAAAAATGGGGCAATCACTCCATATGTTTTTCTTATTACCGAGAAGAAAATGTTGGCCTAAGCGACAGCCCAGGCCAATCGCGGCGAAAATTTTCTTGTTTCCTTTTCTGATTGAAACTCTTTTGGAAACAAATCTTGGGAGTCTTTTAAAGCCCTAGGGACATCCAAAAATAGATATCACCTATTATACATTACTTTTGGGAGGATTTGAAGAGCAAGAAGAAGGTAAGAACGAGAGGATTCATTCCAAGATTCAAGATTTCAAATCAAAGGACGATTGTGTGATGTCTTTTCTTGATTCTTGTTGTTAAGTTCTTCTTCCCATCATGTTCGGCTAGAAAAATTTATACTAGGAGATCGGTGAACCTTGTAATGTGATATTTAATTCTTTGTTTCGTATTTTGACACTAAAATACGTATTGATTGTTTTGAATGATTTATATGCATTTAATTGCTTCCATGATTATGGGCCCGTAATTGTGTGAGTTTTGATGATTTGTTTCATCTATTTGAAAGAAGAGGAATAAATTCGACAAGGTATAAATTATCGTAGGGTCCGATAGTGGATAGAAATACACCCCTATGCTTTGCGTGAATCTCTAAGTACTCACAAAACTACATGCATTCTCATATATTTGCATCCATCATAGAGATATAGGCTAGTGATGAATGAGAATATGTTCAATTCATCTCGAGAGAGAGTATTGGATAGATTTAGGAGTATTGATTCTTCAAAATGCCATCGTGTTGTCAAAGTATGAAATTAAGGTTAAATTGAGCATTGCTTGGGGATTCGTGATCCTAATGCGCTTTTATATTCATTGATTGAGTACACCAACTTGCAATCAACACATTCACTTTGCATTTTAGTTCATTCAAATCATACATATTTACATATTTAGTCCAAGTAAGGTTAATTTAAGTCACTACAATTCACGTTTGACAAATCAGTTTCGATTAAGGCCAAGTTAGGTAAAATTAAACTAATCAATCTCTGTGGGCCGATAGTCGGACTCAATTGATCTACTTTATTACTTATTAACGAACTGTATACTTGTGATGATTTAAATCGAAAGAAAATATTTCGTGAACAAGTTTTTAGCGTCGTTACTAGGGATTGAGCATTAGTTTGATTTTATTTTTCTAGACACTAACTCGAACTTGAAATTTCTATTTTTATTAATTTTCGTTTAGGTTATTTTATTTTTATTTTTATTTTTATTATAGTTTTTCAGATTGTTTGAATCTGAGTGCTACTACTGGTTTTCTTGTCGAATTGCATCCTAAGATCGATTGGAGGAGAATTATTCCAACTGATCTTGAAATTGAGCGAACTTTTCATCGACTAAAAAGAGATACTAGAGAAGCACAGTTGCAAATGGCTAATGAACCTAACAACGATGTTATCCCAACTAATGAAGGAAATGAGATTTTGGGAGATTTCTTGATTCCTCAAGAAATTCAAAGCTAGTCTAGCATAGTGTATCCATCGTTTGGGCAGCCTTATATTCAATTGAAGACTAATGTGATACAACTGTTCCAGAATGGACACCAATTTTATGGCAAAGCCAAAGAAAATCCACATACACACATATCTCGATTCTTGGATATGTGACAACACTTCAGGTATCAAGGAATTTCGGATAATGCTATTAGGCTAAGGTTGTTTCCACATACACTACGGGATAAGGCACTTGACTGGTTGGATTCATTTCCTATTGTAAGCATCACTACTTGGAACGACCTGGCTCAAAAATTCTGCACGAAGTACTTCTCACCAGCCAAAATAGCTAAAATGAGACACGAAATATCCATTTTTAGCTAGGGAGAATCCGAATCATTTGATGAAGCCTGGAACAGATTCAAGAATATGCTCTAGAGGTGCCCTCAACATGGGTTCAACAAAAAGACCCAAATTCGATTATTCTATATAGGGTTACTCCCGTACTTCAAAAGCATGGTGGACTCATCATCAGACGGCTTAATTTCCACACGAACAATCAACGGAGCATTGGAATTGTTTGAGAGAATGGCTACCATTTCAGCCATGTGGTCCTCTGAGCAAGTGATTCAAAAAGAGCCTCTGCGTGTTTATGAGGTAGATGCATATTCTGCCTTATCAGCAAAGATTGACTTACTATTTCATAAGGTAGAAAACATATCACAGTCAGCGAATGCAACGTATGTGTGAAAACCAAATTGTGAAGAATGTGGAGCGAATCATAGTACAACAGAATGCCCAATTCTGTCACAAGAAATGGAACAAATAAAGTACTCACAATGGGGTCAACATCAACAGAACTATCAAAATTCAGACACTTACGATCTCAGTTGGAAAGAACATACAAATATCTCATGGGGTACCCAGAATCAGAATAGATCCCAGAGGCAATTTCAATAGGAGAAGACACTTCAATTGGATGAAATATTTGCAAAGTTCATGGAAAAGACTGAGAAATATATGGAAGCAAATAACCAGTTCATAAGGAAAACTGAAACTACTCTCCAAAATCAGGGTACTGCAATTAAGAACTTGGAGACGTAGATGGAGCAGATGATACTTGCTATGACAAAAAGGGCACCAAATACTTTACCAAGCAATACTGAGTTGAATCCCAGAGAGCATGTTCAAGCGATCACAACTCGAAATGGGATGCAACTACCTGAAAGACACGTTAAGAGGTCGAGTGTAAACAATGAAACAACACTCTGAGATTGTACAGTAAAACGAGCAGACACATGAATCCACACCAAAGGAGAGTTCAAAGACATCACGGGGTAAGGCCACCATTTCAGTTAACCCCTATGAGTTACCCATTCCATTTCTCTAGAGGTTAAGGAAGCATAAGATGGAGCAACAATATAAGAAGTTCCTTGAAACCTTTAAAAAGCTCCACATCAACATCCCATTCACCGATATACTACTCCAAATGCCCAGCTATGCCAAGTTCCTGAAGGACATCTTAACAAATAAACGCAAGCTAAAGGAACATGAAACAGTGATGTTAACTGAAGAGAGCAGTGCCAGGATCCAGAAAAAGCTCCCACCAAAATTGAAAGATCCATGGAGTTTTACTGTCCCTTGCACAATTGGTGATTTATATTTTAATAAAGCATTGTGTGATCTTAGTGCGAGTATTAACTTGATGCCACTCTCTATTTTCAGGAAACTAGGATTGGGAGAACTTAAAGCAACTACAGTAACTCTACAGCTGGCTGATCAATCACTTATACATCCACGATGGATTATTGAAGATGTATTAATCAAAGTGGATAAACTTATATTCCCAGCAGATTTCTTAATTCTGGACATGGAAGAAGACAAGGACGTGCCTATCATATTGGGGTGACAATTTTTGGCAATTGTAAGAGCTCTCATAGATGTGCAACAAGGACAATTAACTCTGAGACTGGGAGAGGAGCAGACCTCTTTTAATGTTTTCAAATCAATGAAATATCCCACGAAGCCAAACACCTGTTTCCAGATTGATGTGATTGACATAGAAATCCTCTACAATTACCAGTTGAAGAAACCGCTAGACATTCAATAGGTTGATATGATGTACCCTCAATCCACTCTCACTGACTCAAAGGAGATCGAGATATGCACCGTGGAGTCTCAAATGGATGATGAGGGAGAGTCACACCACTTGGAAAAGGACAGTTTTGAAGTGTGGAGGATAACTGCAATGCGGAACAAGACCATATTGAACAAACTACGTAGGACTTTCCAAGCCATATTTAAAGTGCTATAACACACCTATGCCAAAAGTCGAGCTATTGACTATAAAATAGCGCTGGTTGGGAGGCAACATAACGTTTCTATCATTTCATTTACTTCGTTTTGCTATAGTTTAGGAACTTTTCATTTTTAGCATTATTAGTAGTTTTCGATCATCAATCATACATCCCTATCACATGGAGTCTAGGCATGGTCTACACAAGTCCCAATGCACTGAGCACGAGTCATGAGGTTGAAGTCCTATTTTAGTCAGTCATGTGTCAAACTGAACAAAGTACATGTTTTGAGTGAAGTTTCATTGGTGATTCACATTTTTGTGATATAAACCCTATGTTGAGACATAAATTATGCATTATGTACACCAACAATGTACACATGCACCTTGAAGCAATTTTGGAAAATTTGTGCACTACGTAGGTTATTTCTTGCCTTAATTGCATCTGTTTACAACATGTGAACTAATACGCATACTTTGCACTTTTACAGGATGCCACCAAAAAGAATGTCACATGGAAAGGAAAAACACAGCGGGTCCTAGTTTTCATTCACCATCTCCATATAGATCAGGGGAGTACTCGTATCCCATCTTGTGCTTTTAGTTTATTATTTTCCTTCAATTATGTCTGCTTACACTTTTATTTCATCTTCACATTGAGGACAATGTATTATCTAAGTTTGAGGGTGGGTGACATAATCTTGGACAAGAACATCTTTTCATCATTTTGCCTATGGTCATCAATATCTATATTTCATGAGTGCATATTATGTGCTTGATGAGTGTTAAAAAGATAATTCTTTGTATTTTATTTAGTTTGCTGTATTTTCATTTTTTGCATGCTTGTGTGGGCTTGATTGTCTTGTCGGCTATGATGTGAATATTGGACTGGTATAAATTATAAACTGTGGATATGGTGCTGAATAAATTAGCCAATACTTATTGATGTAATACTTAACATTATTTATGCACGCCACTCATGCTCACATGTCAGGCTAGTGATTGGGGTTTTGAACATAAAGTAGGAGAAGAGTTATAACCCTCTACTAAATCAAATAATAAACCACCTTAAGACGGTTTGGAGATGGTTGAGCAATCATAGGAAAACATCGAGATAAGTGGGGGCTCCGTGCATGAATTTTATTGTGTGGATTGCCTAGACCAGTGAAATAAAAATTAGATGAAAATTTTAAATTGGGGGTTGGTCTTGGAAGCCAAATGTCTAGAAAAATAATAAAGGGCATAAATCTAACTTGTGAAAATAGGACACTTTTGTCCATGCCTTTATGATTCGAGTAAGTAAGCTTATAAGCATATTTCAAAATCTGGTGCCCCAAAACCAACTGGTTTAGGAGTTATCAGCTTAAAGCTTGTTACATGAGTCATATAGAAAGCAATAGGAGAAGAGGTGAATAAAAAGTCATCTGATCGAGCCTTTATAAATCGAGTGAATAAGCCGGCAAGGGTTTAAAACTTGATATCCTAAAGCCAATTGGTTTGGGAGTCATCGATTTAAAGCTCGCTATAGGAGTTATACAGAAAGCAAATGAGAAGATGACAAAAAAAAATTATCAGAAAATAAGTGAGAAAAGACACGATAACATCAAGAGGTCCTTGGACATTTGGTTGAAGAAAATATACCTTTGATGCGAGCCTAATAACTTAGTTTAATCTTAGGTGTTGAAGCAAACAAATCTAGGAGAGCCTTCATTTGTTGACATGTGAACTTGTGATAGTGAGATCTATCCAAATTAAGAGAGGGTAAGGACTGCAGTTGCCTAAAATCCTAACTTCAAAACACAACCCCGGGTTAACTGAGTGAAAAGAAATAGTTTGGGGTTTTGTGTACCTCTCGAGCGAAGTAAGGACATATTTGACCACTTTGGGTCAGGACTAACTCCATCATGAACTAATTATGTTAGCATGATTTCATACATGCACGTCGGGTATGCAATCAACAGGTAACTGTTGATTTCATTCTTACACTAATCAAAATTTATTTAAGTCAAATACTTAGTCCAATCTCGAGACACGACAGGTTATTAAGACATGTTTGTTTAGTATTGAGTCACTATCTTGTTTGAAGACAAACAATAGTTCAAGTTTGAGGGTTTGATAAGTGTGTTTTTACACACTTAGTTCACAAACATGACTTAATTATGGTCAAAGAGTTTGAATTATGACTTAATTCTATATAATTATGTTTTGTAGGACTATATTGATAAATGTGGTGGACTTCAAGAGAAAAGAAAAGAAAAAGAGCCAAAAAGGAAGAAAATCAAAAGTATGAGGACTAAATTCAAATATTTCAATAGTTGTTAGGATCACAAAATGAAGATTAAAGATGTTGCGAGTTCAATTGGAAGCAAATGAAAGTCAAAGAGTTGAAATTACAAGAGAAAGGGCTTGAAAAAATCAAAAATTGACTTCGGGGGCTAAAATACAACATATGGAAGAAATTTTGCATGGATGACAACTCAGCTATAAAAACTGGGCGATCACCCCATATGTTTTTCTTATTACTGAGAAGAAAATGTTGGCCTGAGTGATAGCCCAGGCCAATAGCGGACAAAAATTTTCTGATTTTTTTGATTAAAACTCTTATGGAAATAAATCTTGAGAGTCTTTTAAAGTTCTAGGGATGTCCAAAAACAGACAACATGCATTATACATTATTTTGGGAGGATTTGAAGAGCAAGAAAAAGGCAAGAATGAGAGGATTCATTCCAAGATTCAAGATTTCAAATTAAAGGGCGATAGAGTGATGTCTTTTCTAGATTCTTGTTATTATGTTCTTCTTCCCATCATGTTAGGCTAGAAAAATCTATACTAGGAGATCGATGAACTTTGTAATTTGATATTTAATTCTTTGTTCTGTATTTTGACATTAAAGCACGTATTAATTGTTTTGAATGATTTATATTCATTTAATTGCTTTCATGATTATGGGCCCGTAATTGTGTGAGTTTTGGTGGTTTGTTTCATCTATTCGAAAGAAGAGGAATAAATTCGACAAGGTATAAATCATCATAGAGTCCGATAGAGGATAGGACTAGACCCCTATGCTTTGGTGAATCTCTAAGTACTCATAAAATTACATGCATTCTCATATATTTGTATCCGTCATAGAGATATAGGTTGGTGGTGTATGAGAATAGATTCAATTCATCTCGAGAGAGAGTGTTGGATAGATTTAGGAGTATTGATTCTTACAATGTCATCATGTTGTCAAAGTGTGAAATTAAGGTTAAATTGAGCATTGCTTGGGGATTCGTGGTCCTAGTGCGCTTTTATATTCATTGATTTAGTACACCAACTTGCAATTAACACATTCACTTTGCATTTTAATTCATTCAAATCATACATATTTGCATATTTAGTCCAAGTAAGGTTAATTTAAGGCACTACAATTCACGTTTGACAAATCGGTTTCAGTTAAGGCCAAGTTAAGTAAAATTAAACTAGTCAATCTCTATGGGACAATATTTGGACTCAATTGATCCATTTTATTACTTGTTAACGAACCATACACTTGCGGTGATTTAAATCGAAAGAAAATATTTCTTGAACAGAAAGAATAGTCCCTGACCTTGACTACCCTTTAAATACCGAAGAAGATGGTGAGCTACCTTGAGATGAGGTAGTGGAGGCTATGACAAAAATTGGCTCAGCTTGTAGATAGCAAAAGTAATATCTGGTCGTGATATTGTCAGGTAAATCAATTTTCCAATCAACCTGTGATAAGAAGATGCATCTGGCAGAAGGTCTCCATCATGAATATTTAAGGTAACCTTTGGATCCATAGGAGTATTTGTTAATTTGCAGTCCAGGTAACCTGAATCCGCAAGCAACTGTAGGGCGTAATGTCTTTGTGATATGACAATCTTAGAGTTAGAACGAGCCACTTCTATGCCCAAGAAGTACTTCAACTTCCCTAAATCCTAAAGTTTGAACTGAGAGTTTAAGAACTTCTTTAAAGAATCAATAACTTGAATGTTTGGTCCAGTGATGACAATGTCATCTATATACACAAGCAATGCCACAAATTCATTCCCAGAACCTTTAGTGAATAGGGAATAATCGGCCTTTGATTGATTGAAACCACAATGGACCATTGCTTGGGTGAATTTAGAATTCTACTACCTTAACGTTTGCTTGAGGCCATAAATTGACTTTTGCAACTTGCAAACCAATTTCTTCACTTGTTTGACAGCATTGGGAACCTCATAACCAGGCGGGAGATCCATGTAAACTTCATCGAACTTATCACTATTCAAGAAGGCGTTATTTACATCCATTTGGAACAAGTGCCACCGTTGAGAGGCTGTAAGAGCTAACAATACTTTAACAGTGACAATCTTTGCTAGTGGGGAAAAAGTGTCAAAGTACTTAAGGCCCTCTTGTTGTGTATGACCTTTAGCTATAAGACGTGCTTTGTGCCTTTCAATAGACCCATCAAAATTATGTTTTACCTTGAAGATCCACCCTCATCCAACAATATGTTTACCAACTGGTAAAGGAACTACTGACCAAGTGTGATTGGCTTCCATAGCCTCCAATTCAGCTTTCATGGCTTCACGCCATTGTGGATATTTAACCGCCTGGTGAAAAAATTGAGGCTCAAATTGAGAGGACACGTTCAATACAAATTGCCGGTGGTTTTGGGATAAATGATTATAGAAAATAAATTGGCTAACATGATGGAGTGAATGAAGATGGGAGTTATCTTGTTGAGAAAAGAGTTGTAATGAAAATCTCTAAGGCATTGTAGGGGTCTAGCAGCTCTTTGTGAACGTCTCAAATTAGTGATAGTAGTAGGTTGACATGTGTGACTAATGTCAGTATGTGGAGTGCCATTTTTATCAGGACTGTCAGGTGCAGACATTGTATCAAGGGATGGTGATGTAGGGAATAACTCTTGATGCAAATTATGACTTTCAGAGGAAGAAATATGAGGTAAGTTATACTGAGTTGAGGATGCATGTGAATCTTGATGAAGATGTAAAAAATGATTTGGTAAGACTAAGTCAGGGAACGGATCTATCAGTTGATCATTTGCCATAACTGTATGAAAAGGAAAGATTTTTTCGTGAAACGCAACATCACGTGATACAAAGAAATGTTTTGACTCAACATCATAGAGTTTGTAACCTTTAACTTCAGATGGATATCCCAAGAACACACATAGCCTAGCTCGTGGCTAGAATTTGTTTCTTTGTGTAGTTAGAGTAGATGCAAAAGCTGGACATCCAAAAACTCTAAGTGAGGAATAATCTGTAGGTCTTCCATATAGAACTTCATATGGCATTTTGTGCTTCAACACAGAAGATGGAGTTCTATTTATCAAGAATGTGGCTATCAAAACACATTTAAACTAGAAACTGATGGGGATTCGTGATTAGAAGTACAGAGACCTAGCCACATTTAACAAATGCTGATGTTTGCGCTCAACGACGGAGTTTTGTTGTGGTTTTTCCACATAACTAAACTGATGCATTACTTCCTTTTTAGTAAAATAATCTATAAAGGTTAATTTACAAGCATTGTCAAATCTGAATGTCTTTATTTTGGCATTGAATTGGGTATCAATCATGTTGAAAAATCTGGGAATAACAATCTTGGCATCTGATTTGTGATTTAACAAATAGACCTATGTAAACCTTGAACAATCATCCACCAATATCAAGAAATAATTGTATCCCGAGTGTGAAGTAACATGGTAAGGTCCCCATACATCACAATGTATGAGATCAAAGGGATCATTTAACGGTCTATTATTCAATTCAAAAGGCAATTTCCGCTGTTTAGCAAGTAGACAAACATAACAAGGCATATGCCTCTTAAATTTTTTAACATCACACAATAATTGTTCCTTCAACCAGTCTAGCCTTTTGAATGAAAGATGCCCAAGTCTGTTGTGCCATACATGGATAGACACAGTATTAACAAATGCATTAGAAACGGAATTCGGAATTCTGGTATCTAGAACATACAAATTTTGCATTTGACCACCCCTACCAATCATCATCTTGGTTTTGGCATCTTGAATAATGAAGTTATCATGAGAGAAACTTAATGAAACTTGTGGTACAAATAACACATCATGCAGCACAATATTTGGACTCAGCCTGATATTCCCACACAATCTAACTGGAATTTGTGTGCGATTGGTTAAAGTCACATTTGAACCATCAATAATCCTCATGTTCATGAATGAAGCAGCAATAGAACACACATGCTTAGTGGCTCCCGAATCCACTATCCAAATTTCTTTGGAATACAAGACTGGATTAACAGATATGAAATGGCATATACCTGCATTATATAATGTAATTTTGTTGTCCTGATAATCAGAAGCTGCTGTGTGTGAGTTTGATGCCAGATGAGTGGACAATGTCGACATCAATTGTTGATATTGAGCAGGATTCAAGCTCTAAATTAAATTTCCAATCCCAGGTTGTTGTGAATTATGCATTTTATCTTCATTCGGTGCAGATCTGGAGATCTGGAAATTACTCATTGAATGAAGTAAGAAGTAAGGACTTGATTTGTTCATTGATGACCTTGAATCAAACCAATTTCCGGACTGTAATAACTCTATGTGGAGATTAGATCGAACAACAGATTAATTGAATTTGTGAAAGTAAAAAAAGAAATATGAAGAGGAGATCCAGCAACAGATTAAATCTGTGATGAGGAGAGAAGAGCGTGGAAATGATTTTGCTCTGATACCATCTTCGATTTATAGAGAGAAAATGAATTGAAACTCTATTGATCATTCAATCAATTGAATGAATGTTCAGAGATACATAAATAGCAATGGAGCTTGGCGCCAAAAATGAAAGGAAAAAAACACAGCTGGCCAACTAATGAATTGAAATAAAACTAAGCTACAGTGCAATTACATACAATGCCTACAATTAATTCTAATAAAATATGAGTGACTTGCGTCCTATATATACTTGTGGAAAAATTCAAAAATTTCTACCTTCCTTTCCAACCTATTGTGAAAGTTGTAAGTTAGCAGCCCCAATCTATTGTGTTAGTTGCATGTTAGTCACCAGCCTATGAATAGGAGCAAATATTTCCTCAACCTTTCATTAGTGTCGCAATATTAGCCTCTGGTGTCGCAATATTAGCCTCTGTTTAACAATCATTAAAATGAGTATTTTGGAGAAAGCAAGGTTTTGAATAGTGATTTTTTGAGGAATATATAAACAAAAGTAGGAAAAAATTTAGATTTATGTACCGAATATTTTATTTTAAAAATTTAGTTTAAGAAAAAAAGCGTTTGCTTTAAAGGTTGTCAAACAAGAGCTTAATCCCACTAGATGACTCCGACAAATTTTTAATTTAATAGCAAGATCAAGAAGAAAAAAACTTGACCAACTCGTTGGCATGTGTAGTGAAAAATTATGTTTATAGATTTGCAAAATAGATTCTTCCTTGACTTGATTTTGGTGCAGCATAAATGGATATTTTGGTGCTTGTAAATTTTGTTCAAGATTCGAAAAATGGTTCAAGACCAAAGGTGTGATTTATCTATATTTGTAGGCCTATGATGTCTGATTTTGTCGTTTGATTTTAAATGTGAACAGACTGAAGGCTAGACCAATTACACCTCTAGACCCTCTACCAAAGTCATAAAGAAATTATTAAAGGTTTTATAGCACAAAGCTTCCTTATGTTTGGCTTGTAGTGTGCAAAACGTCCATATGTTTCAAATTTTTGCATTTCACACTTATTTTAACGTTTCGTTGCGGAACATCATTTTCACCAATTTTTAATGTAAATGACCAATATACCCTCTTATTTAAATAAAACCAAAAAGAGAAGAAACGAAAAATAAAGAACAAATTGCAATCTTACTCCTAAACTTTTTAAAAAGTATAAATGAGTCCAAATAAAAAATTTTGGAAAAAAAAATTCTTTTTTCTCTTCTTTTCTTTTTCTGTTCCGACAAGACCCATTGCATTCCCAACTTATAAATCAACTATATTCATTGGAGCACCTCTCTTCATAGACTTAAAACTTGAACAGGTGCACAAAATCAAAATCTATAGCAACATCTTTCAATTTCTTATTGGGCAATAAATGGCCACATATTCTGGGGAATAATAGATGAAATTGATGGAAACCTATTATTGTAGCAGTGTGGCATGATGTGGTGAAGTTGAAATGGGTGGTCTGCGATGGTGAGAAGCATTACCTGTGTCGAAATTGACGGAAAAAGGCAACATGTTGCTCATGCGATAGTTACATTTTTTGTTGATTTTGACCTTATAAATTTGTTGTTTGTTCAATTTGTTTATAAGAAAGTGTTTGGGTGTTGATGACAGCTATTTGTAGTATGAGCTCTAGTATTTTAGGTGGCGGTTAGGTGGAAGTTGATGAGATGGAGGCCGACAGTTCCTTGAATCTTCAAAATAATGAGTGAATTGGGTTGGGTTGGGTTGGGTTGGCATGGGGTGGGATGGGGTGTGGGAAAAAAGTAAGGATATTTTGTGCTATTGAGCCTTTTGAAAAATTTGGGCCTATAGTTGCAATTTGATCTTTAATTTTCTTTTATTTTTGTTTTATTTAAATAGGAGGGTATATTGGTCATTTTACATTAAAAATTGGTAAAAATGACATTTTTCACAATGAAACGTGAAAATTGGGGTGAAAATGTAAAAAATTGAAATGTGGGGACATTTTGCACACTGCAAATCAAACGTAGTGATGTTTTGTGCTATTAAGCCATTATAAAAGTCAATACAATGGAAACCTTTTTACCCACTATTAGGAAAAACATGGGTTGAGTTTGGCTAACAAATAATGGAATTGAGAAAATGCAGCTAAAATGAACACAAGTATTTACGTGGTACATCTAATTTAGACTATGTCTACATGCAAGTATATGAAGATTTCATTATAGTAGGAGAATTACAACACAATAACAACAATTAATCTCTCTTGTAATAAGAGAAAACAAGTAGAAAATACTTAAGAGAAAAACTCACAATTTTTTCTCTATAATTTTATCTTTCCACTAACAATTTTCTCTCTACTCTACTTTTAATTCCTCTCAAATTTTCTTTTCCATACGGCATACTTTTCTCTATAACTCTTGCCC